TATATATATATATATATATATATATACTGATTTAGTATCAGTTAAGCGAAATTATCAACCTTAATGATACAAATACAGTATATGATAGCGATTTAGTATCAGCTAAGCAACAACTATTACCCTTAATGAATTGGGGGTATGGACTGTAATTATTTATGAGAGAATGGGTATTTCAGGAATTACTTTGGATTTGGGTATAAACTTGTAATTATTTTAAATTTTATGGCCTATTTATGTAGTTTTTCTTTCTTGTTTTACTACAGGTAATTTTCAAATCTAGCCTATTTTTGCACACTTTTTTTGGAAAATAGCCAAATTTTCAGTACTAGTACAAAAGTTAGCAGTTTCGAAACTCGGGAAACTCAAGGCTAATATTTTTAATTGTCACTTATTCCTAAAATGGATTTTTATTTTTATTAGTTCATTTTTGACATATTAAGAAGAAATAATAATTATTGTTTTCAAGTTGTACCCTCAGCATTGAATACTTATTCTATAAATTATTTTTCAAGACCTCATATTAAACATCATATAATGGGAATAATGTTATAAAATACTTATATTAATAATAATTTTCTGGTGTGTCAAGCCAAATAATGACAAGTAAATATGAAATCATTAAGTTGTCTAGGACAAAAATCAAAAAACATCTTTGAATTTCAGTTTTGAAATTCACAAATATTTGCTACTCCCTCCCTCTCATATTACTTGATTATTTTTTCAAAAGTTGTTGTCTCATATTAGTTGTCCACCTTAATAAATCAAGAAAGCATTAATTATGCTTTTCCTTTATTACCCTTACAATTATTTCTTTTTGAAAGAGTTTATATTTATTTGTAAAATTTCTAAGAAGTTCTTTAAAGAGTGAAACAGTAAAATTATCATTTTATTTATGATTTCTTAAAATGCATGTAAAAAGAAAAATGATCAACTGATATGAAATAGAGGGAGTAATTTTTCCAGTTGAAAATTCCTGAAATTCAAAAATGTTTGCTGAATTTTTTCCTTAAAAAAAAAGTTAATGATATCAAAAGCATGCAAAAATCAGGCAATATTTCAAAAGCATTGTTCACACACACTGAGCAATACCAGATTAAATGTTCTGATTCTCTCTCAACTCATTTGAAATATATCAATTGGTGTTTGAAGTAATACTTAAAACATTAAACAATATATCCAACTTTGATCAGTATTTTATTCTACCAAAATGTTATGATGGAAAATGTTCAACATTACTATTTGATGATTTATAGTACAATAGTAAAGTAATGTTTTGGGGTCTTTCTCTATATCCACTAAAATTCTCTAAAATATTTTACTTCTCTCCATTAGAACTAGAAAGCACCGTGGCGGCATAATATCAACCTGAACTTAACTCAACCCCAAAAGCTAGCTAGCTTGGAGGATTGTTGTAAACTAAACAAACAATCACTCCATTCCCCAATTGGTATAGGACTCTAACACCCCTTCACGCCCAGGTCCAACTAGAATCCAAGTAGGGATGACTCTGATACTATGTTACTAAACAAGGTACTTTAGGAGAATTACAATGATTTAAATGTAAGTAAAGAGAAGGGTAACAAAGTAACTAGATATGTAAATCCCTAGAATATTATATACAAGGAAACATATAACTTTA